ATGGCCAAAGGGGTGTGGACGAAGCATCACCATTCAACAGGACAACGCCCGCCCACATGTGCCACCCTGCGACACTGATATCGTGGCGGCGTGTCAAAGTGGTGGCTGGGACATGCAGCTCAAGTTCCAGCCACCAAACTCTCCAGACCTCAATGTTCTGGATCTGGGGTTCTTCCGTGCGATCCAGACCCTCCAAGAGAAGAACACCTCCCGCTGCATTGATGAAATTGTTGCCGCCACGGAGCAAGCGTGGAGTGAAGTCTGCATGCAGACCCTCAACAACAACTTCCTGACCCTCCAAGCCTGCATGCGTGAAACGATATGCGCTCAAGGAAACAACAACTACAAGATTCCTCATTGCGGTAAGGCGAAACTATTGGCTCGTGGGCTTTTGCCCCAGGTCCTGGCAGTAGACAATGAGGTTGTGGAGTGTGGTTTCCAGCAGCTTGACGAGTCTGACGTCAATGCAAAGTTTGACCAACTGGCCGTGGAAGTGACCGAAGCTATGGAGATGTCTGAATTCAGCTCTCAGTTGGAAAAGCTGATTGTCAACGACGAGCTCAAGGAGGACGCGGGTGTTGAATTGGACGAGCTGTTGGATTTGTGTAGCCTGCTTTGAATATAATTGTATTCATTTTTGTATGCCAAAATCAAAATATAATTTACGATTAGTTTGTTGCAAGCTTTTCCGAATATCATTATTTCCGCTTGTTGCAAGAATTTACGGACAGAGGTAGTAATAGAAAACAATCAAATTTATTAAATGTATTCCCTTATCCAGTACATATGATTCATCACACGGAGGTATGTCAAGGATGAAATTGGCACCTTCCTGGGAATTAAATTATACAGCTGAAGGGCACCTCTTGTTTTCGATATATTTGAGACAATCTACATTTGAAAATTCTGGGTTGAAGTGGCTTATTCTACATTTGACACGCAGTTTTTGGAAGAAATTCCTTGCTACTTCGAAGATGTTTACAGTGTTAAAAAGATAGATTATCTTGTGACAACACAACGAAAGATAGCGTATCCACCCGTAGATTATTTCAATTTATTTCTCCGATGATATTGACGACGATGGGCTGCAGGTTTCTAGTCTTTGTAGGAATCGGTGGTGGTGTGTTTTCGTCCACCAATTTCGTCGTGGAGAGACGTTGCGTCGTGGCCGTCCAATTCGCAAGTGTCGTGGTTGCCACGTGTCCTTGGACATCACCCATGAAACTACGAGGTGGCCTGAACGTATACATAGCGCAGGCTGTGCCGCGACTGACTTCACGTCTGGTCACTGCTGTGCTGAGCATTTCTATCAACCTAATTAACGTACGTTACACGTCATTCACTAAGACGTGAATCTAAGACATGCCCTGCATGTGAATGAATACTCGCACACCAACAAGGTATGTAGACATGTGCAGGGTGCTTGCTTAAACTTACAGCTGCTACAGAGGTCCATCATGTACATGTATGTATGTACTGAGGGCATGCGTCCAACCAACTCAAGGGTGTTGTGCTTGAGATGTGTCGTGGCGGTGGTGCTTAGTGGAAGGCATGTCATCCCTTCCCGATCTCGTCGCGCCGCGGTGAACGACGAAAGGACATGTTCAACAGTGTACACTGCTTGACATCATCCCACAGCAGTCCCTTGGAACTCAGTTGATCGCACCCGAGTTCAGCCACTGGTTGCTTTTTTTTCCGTAAAGGGTGGGCCTTATACAAATTTCAAGTGAAATTCGATTTAATTGCGGAAAGATCTCAGTTACACACCATACAAACATCAAGCCAAGGGTCAGTTTCGACTGTTTCAAACACCACTGGCGCTCATTCCCAATTTTTCTTCCACGGCCGTGATGATGGAGGGAGAAGAAACACTCCTTCCAAAGCAACAAGTCATCGTGCTGGAAGTGGAGGGCATGATGTGCATGAAGAACTGCGGCACCACTGTACAGAACGCCCTCAAGAACATGGATGGCGTTGAGTCCGCGGTTGTCACATACACCGAACATATTGTCACCGTGCGTGTGTTGCCGTACTATTCCATCGACCCGAGCGACCTCATCGACACATTGGATATGGTGGGGTTCGATGCCACACTCCAAGTCCCCTTCGACATGGAGCCACGGAACGTCGTCCGCCTCGGCGTCGACGGGATGATGTGTATGAAAAACTGCGGAACGACTGTTCAGAACGCACTTCGACTGCACGAAGGCGTCCAATCCGCATACGTCGATTACGACAAGTCCATGGCAACGATCACAATCGACCCAGAGCACATTGGGGTGGTGACGGAGCAGGATTTGATAGACACTGTCGAGTGCGTTGGGTTCGACGCATACGTGTTCAACCATGGTGAGCGATGTCGCCGACGGTTGGCGGCCAAGGCCAAGGCGGCGCTGCAGGATGAAACCGAGCAATCGACCAGCATTGCGATCGCGGAATCCTCCCATCCTCGCGCGTTTTTCAAAATTGACGGCATGAGCTGTGCTGCATGTGTCAAGGCCATTGAAGACGTACTGCGGCACCAAGCTGGGATCGTGGACTGCCGCGTAGGGCTTATCAGCGCCAAGGCGGAGATCGCATTTGACAGGTCCATCTTCGTCGAGCACGAAGATGTTCAAATTGGCGACTTTATCCGAAACGCAGGGTACGGCGCCACATACATCAACACGATCGACGGCGACGACGACAGCTTCGAGGTCAAGTACGACGTCGAAGGATTGACTGGCCCAGAGCACATTCATGCGGTGGAGAGCGCCGTCAAGGCCTTGGCGGGGGTGGCGAGCGTGTCCATCAAGCAACACGTCGTGTCGGTGCATCTCAAGCAAATGTCGGCCACTGGCCCCCGCACGGTTCTGGATGCGATTGCCGCCGCCGGCTACACCGTGTCGGTGCATGTGGCGCACGCCGACGATACCGACGAGGACGAGAGCGCCAAGTGGAAGCGGCTGCTGCTGATTTGTCTGGTGTTTTCGCTGCCGGCGATGATCGTGCATATGGTGCTCGGGTGGATCCCTGCGTGCCGGATGCTGCTCATGTCGAAGGTTGTGAACGGGCTCACGGTCAAGTGCCTTGTGATGTTTCTGCTCACGACGCCGGTGCAGTTTGGCATCGGCCTCCGCTTCTACGTGGCCGCGTACAAGGGGCTCCAGCACGGCATGATGGGCATGGACTTCCTCATCGTCGTGGGCACGACCGCGTCTTACTTGTACAGCTTCATCTCGATGGTCGGGTGCATTTTGAGCCCGACGTTCCGCGGCCACCACTTTTTCGAGTCGTCTGCGATGCTCATTTCGTTCGTCACGATTGGCAAGTACTTGGAATCCAAGGCCAAGAAGGACACGGCGCAGTCGCTGGGTGTGTTGGTCAAGATGCAGCCCAAGCACGCGCTCCTGATCGAATCAACTCTTAACGGCGGCGGCGCGGCAATGTCCAAGGACCGAAGCATCCCCATCGAGCTCGTCCAGCGCGGCGACAAGCTCCGACTTCTCCCCGGCTGCCGCATCCCCACGGACGGCGTCGTCGTGCACGGCCAAAGCTCGTGCGACGAGAGCATGCTTACAGGCGAAAGCATGCCCGTGACCAAGTCCCAAGGCGACATTGTGTTTGGGTCGACGGTCAACCAGAGTGGTGCGCTCGTGATGGAGTCGACGTGTGTGGGCGGCCAGAACACGCTGAGTCAGATTTGCGCGCTGATTGAGAACGCACAGATGGACAAGGCGCCGATCCAGGCAGTGGCCGACAAGTTTGCGTCATGGTTTGCCCCGTTCGTGATGGTCGTGGCGCTGATCACGTTCGCCACGTGGTACGTGATGCTGACGTTCGACGTGGTTCCTGTCGAGTGGAAGCTGTCGATGGGCATCGTCACGACTGGTCACGAAGACGACCTGTTCATTTCCGTGCTGTTTTGCATCTCCACAGTTGTCATCTCGTGTCCGTGTGCGCTGGGACTGGCGACCCCTACCGCCGTGACGGTTGGCACCGGCGTCGGCTCCAAATTCGGCATCCTCATCAAGGGCGGCCGCGCGCTCGAGACGGCGCGGTCGGCGGATGTAGTTGTGTTTGACAAGACGGGCACGCTCACGGTGGGCCATCCGTCCATGACCGAAGTGGTCGTGTCCGAGGGCGGGGCCGTGACGGCGCGCGACGTGCTGTACTATGCGGCTTGTGTGGAAACGCAAAGCGAGCACGTGCTGGGCAAGGCGATCGTGCTGGCGGCGTCCGAGCAAGAGCAGCTCGAGTTGCGCGAACCCACCAACTTCCGCGTGGTGCCGGGGCGGGGGTTGCGGGCGACGGTGCCGCGTCGAAGCGACGGCCAGTCGTCGACGACGACCCAAAACATGATGGACGTGGCTGTGGGCAACTCGGCGTGGCTCGAGGAACAAAACGTGGCGATCCCGTCCAAGATGGAAGCGCACATGTGGGAGCTGGAAAACGAAGGCAAGACGGTCGTGTGCGTGACTTTGAACAATGTGTTTGCGGGGCTGATTGCGCTGGCCGACACGGCACGCCCAGAAGCGGCCGAGACCATCGCGCAGCTCAAGCGCATGGGCATGAAGGTTTGGCTCATCACAGGGGACAATGCGCGGACGGCCACGGCTGTGGCGCGGCATATGGGCATCGACAACGTCAAGGCGGTGGCGTTGCCTGGGCAAAAGGTGGAGCAGATCAAAGTGATTCAGAGCCGGACGAGCGAGCGCACGGGCAAGCCGCATGTGGTCGTGATGGTGGGCGACGGCATCAACGACGCGCCGGCGCTGGCGCAGGCGGACGTCGGCCTTGCGATAGGCGCCGGCACGGACATTGCGCTCGCCCAGGCCGACATGGTGCTAGTGAAATCCAACCTGCGCGACGTGGTGACGGCACTAGACCTGTCGCGAGTGATCTTCACGCGCATCAAGATCAACTTGTTCGCGTCGATGATCTACAACTTACTCAGCATTCCGTTGGCGGCGGGGCTGTTCTTCCCGCTCTTCCACCGCATGTTGCCCCCTGCCTGCGCCGGGATTGCGATGGCGATGTCGTCCATCTCGGTGATTTCGTCGTCGCTTATGCTCAAGCGGTACACCCCCCCGGTGTTTAGCGAGTCTTTCTCGCTGAAAAAACCATTGACTGGTCGACCCCCTGTTAACGGGGGCCGCAACATGCTCGAGTTGGGCAAAATTCGCAACCGGCCTTACCACCCTGTGGACATCCAAGAAAACTAGGCACGTGTGTCTATTTAATATTAAGTTATTCCACGAAACGCTTAGTTGTTTTACGGTTTACTGGTATTGGTTGTATATTTGCTAGAATACTTTTATAGAGGGGTCATGATTTCCGTAGTTTTGTACTTTCAGTACCGGTACAGTAGAACTGTCAATGTGAGTTGGCTATGGGGCGGTATCGTGTGGACGGGAAGGGCACCCGTTAGTGTTGACAAGATCAAAGACCAGCATTCCATTGACGCCAATGGTGGTCGTACTTGACGTTTCATGATTTAGGGACAAGGTGGAGCAACCACTGTATTCACTGAATAGAACTCGTAACGTTATTCAGGATAGAACTCGTAACGTTATTCAGGCATTTGCTCCCAATTGCAATTCGACATACATCGATGTCTTCGATATTCAAGAGATTACCGACCCCGCGCTGTTCTTGGACTTGACGTTGACCATGCGCCGAGCTGATCCGATTGGGACCAACCAAATTGGAACCCGAGCACTGTCCGCTGCGTTGGGGCTCGAGCCAGAAACTGATTTCCGGTTTTGGGTCGTCCGGCGTGAGAACGACGCAGGTATCGATGCGGTTGCCATGTGGACTTCGTTCGCGGGCATCTTCTTGAGTCCGAGCTTTCGTCCGTCGGATGCCGCGGAATTTGGCCACCACTTGGCCCAACTCCTTCCCGACCCATTGCCTCAATCCAGTGGACGCATAATGTCCACGCAGTCGTTCAACGAAGGCTACTGCGCGGAGCGGTACCCCCCCTTAACCCCGCAGTGGAAGGAGACTTTGCTGGTCTACGTTCTTGACCAGTTGAAACCCCCCCAGCCAGTGGAGGGCTCACTTGTCACGGACGCGAACAACGAACTTCTGATACCATGGATCGTCGAATACTGCGAAGCGCTGCAGTACCCACAAGAAATTGCCGAGCCATACCACAAGCGGAGCATGGAACGGCAGTCGTTATATGTGTGGCAAGTGAATGGCCGAGTCGTAGGCTTTGCCGCACATTATCCGCCGGTGGTCACGGAAGGTGAAGCCATTTTCCGAGTCGGCCCCGTGTTCGTCACGCCACAGGAGCGACGCAAGGGCTACGCCAGCGCCATGACGGCGGAATTAAGTCGTCAACTGAAAGTCGCGTACCAAACCTCGTCGCGAGTGATGCTGTTTGCGATGCCAACAACCCTGCGTCCAACAAGGCATGTGCAGGCTAGCGACCTTGATCGTTGCTGCTCCAATATTACTTGGTATTCAGAAGCTACACACAGTCAGGTTCCTTCCGTTGGTACCATCAAGGTAATCTGCCTTCGTAGAATTCGATTTCCGTCACAATAGAAGTGGAGAAATGGACTGCTCATCGCGACAATGATAATAGGAAGTGGTACTACCGGTAGTAATTTGTTACTGCCTCAAGTGTAGCCTTGGTCTGAATGGTGGTGAAAAAACATGCATTCTTTGGGTGGGACATATCTCACTCATAAATCAATTGCGAATGTTCATCCAAGAAGTCCACAGCCTGTCCGAGTTTGCCGCGTTGACGTCGGAGATGCTGGAAGCTGAGCCCTTTGGCATGAGCTTGCAGTTCGATGACTTTTCCCCGGCTGCTTCGGCCAACCTGGCCACTCGATATTGGGTGATGTCGCGGCCGGTCTCTGCCTTTGCAATGGTGTCGCCCAAACGAATCGCCATGAGCCGTTCCATCACACCCCTCGAAGCTCAAGCCCTCGGTAGCGTGCTGTCGGAAACAACTGCGATGGCGCCGCATATTCAAGGTCCGTTAGCTGCGTTGATTGCATTTATTCGAGGCTATCGCGAACACTGGCCAACAACATCCTTCGTCCCAACGGCTACATTCCTCACCTATGTTTTGGACAACTGCCCTGGCATGCCCCCCCGAGTTAAAGGCACTTTGCGCGCGGCGAATGCTACATTGGACAAAGAGGTTCTCGAAGAATGGAGTTCACTTGCCGCCCAACCGCTGCGGGGGGCTGTGGCGGACGTACAAGGCTTTGTGACAAGGGAAATCGAACACCGATCCTTGTACCTATGGGATGTGAATGGATACCCCGTCGGGTGTATTGGCCACTCGTCACCTGTCCAAGTTTGCAAGAAACATCGGTTAGTTGTGACGATCAACGTCCTGCATGTTGCGTCGCCAGAGCAAGATGAAGACTATGGCATCGCCATGTTGACATCACTGTGCCAGCACCTCCAGGAATCCAACAATGCAACTGCATGTCGGGTTGTCCTCATGGTCAATCAAGATAACATTAGTCCGACTGAGACCGAAGTGATTGAAAACGCTGGGTTTGGCCTGCAGCAAGGCACCATCATCACTGCCGATCTTGTACATTCGGAGTAGCTAACACAACCATATTCATATATTTGTGCGCTTCTCATTTGCTTTCGCCACGAGAAACAATTGCTCCAGCGTTAAATGGGCTCCCAGGCCATGCATGACGTGTTGAAGCTTCATTCCTCTCACGACATGTCGGCGACGACCTTCACTCACACATTGCACTTTCAAAAAGTGTTCCAGGAACCCACTCAACACCATAAGTCGGATTGTGTGGTGGTAGCAGGTGGAACGTGAGACTATTACACATGTAGGAGTACAGTACCTAAGAGAACTGCACAGAGCATGTATCCTTTGGCTATAACGTAAAAAAACAGTTAAACCAATTTAGGATAGCTTGGTATTGTCCAATCATACCTCGTTATTTGTTGGAGTCAAAACCTCTGTCATATAATGCCAACCCTTCCGTCACGTTGATGAAATACAGTACCAATTCAGCGTAGAAGCCGTTGATAATAGTAATTCAAGATTGGGCTTGAAATTATTGGGTTTGATATGAGGTTGTGTCGAGTGATAAACTCGGTGAACTACAGTATATTTCAATACCTGAAGTATATACTGTACTCTACAAACCCATAGCATTGTGTAAATTATATTCAACCTGTTGTAACCGCTTAACCTAAACGCAAAACTTCAATGCTTTTAAACATACATACTTCAAGATAAAAATAGTTATGCTAAATTGGTTCTCAAAATGTCAATACAAATGCTTAGAAAGTGACAAATTTATCTGTGAAGGTAATCGTGTAAATTAACTATATTGAGAAAGCAGTGTGCCTTGACTTTTGGAATCGCTTCTCAGAACTCAAATATTGTAAAACGGACTCAAAAGTTATGTGCATTGTACTCCGTACAGTAAACTGGTTTTTTACGTTCTGCCGGCAAATATCACATTCCAAAGTACCATGGGCTCCACAAGACCATCCATTCAAGCGATTTCAAACGCGAAGTCGTTCCTTGACCTCACTGTGCCCTTACGACAACTGGATCCAATTGGGACTAACCAAATTGCTAGCATTGCTATCGCTATTGCTACTGGCGACCGGTCCCCTGAAGGCATCAGTTTTTTTGTTGCCGTTGCCACCGACGACGACGGTGATATACCCCCCGAGGTAATTGTGACGGCGTTCGCAATGCACAGCTCGTCTCGTGGTGTTTTTCTGAGCCCCTCAATGTCGTCTGACGAAGCCACTACCTTGGGTGAAATCGTCGCCCACACGGTTGAGCCGTTGCTCGTTGAACTCACGGGCATGGTCGCCGCCGCAGTAGCTTTCAACGACAGCTACTGCCGCCATCGACCACAGCCAACAGCTGCAGTGTGGAAAGAAGTCTTGCTCTTGTATGTGCTGGGGAAACTGCAACCCCCCTCGCCCTCCACAGTGGCCGGAGCCATGCGTGTCGCGACTGTCGAAACGGACACTGGGCTACTCACAGCTTGGACGATTGAATTCTTCGAGTACATCGGCATCCCCGCCCAAGACGCCCCCCACTTTACAGCCAGTGGACTCAAACGACAAGCGTTGTTCGTGTGGGAAGTTGAGGGGACGCCAGTGGGGTTTGCAGGCTATGCACCCCGCGTCGATGTCGAAGGCGAAACAGTATACCGAATTGGACCAGTGTTTATAGCGTCGATGGAACGACGTAAGGGGTATGCGTCGGGTCTCACGGCAGCCCTGAGCCAGCACTTGCAGGCGACAAACCAGTCGCGATCGTCTCGCGTGTGCCTTTTTGCCGACGCAGCCAACCCGGCATCCAACAAAGCCTACCGAAATGTAGGCTTTGCGTTGCACAGTCAAAGTGTGGCGTATTCGTTTGACACCAGCAATTAATTGCGATTTTGTTTTGCAAGTTTTAAATGTGGTTTAAAACGTACGGAGGCCAGTGTGTCAGACTTGCAATGCTGTCATTGTTCTCCTAACAATGGTAGACAATGGTAGATAGGCACTTTAACTTCGTCGTAAATAAGCTCAACGTTAACATTGCATTTAGAGTACGCAACCCCATGGAACCCCCGGGCAATCCACAAACTTAATTCCTGTGACGGACGACACGACCATCATTCGTGAAAGAAAGTTTCAAATGGTGCGTTTTGGGACCACAAATTTGCTCGCTAAGGATTGTGGTCCACCAAACTTACGCGTTGTTGGCTCAGTAAAAGAGCGTGGCAGAGATATAACATCGTTTTAACTTATTTACGAAGAAATGGTATGTACTGTGCTCCAGAGTTCCATGTACATAACCGGTCAAATCCGAACACCACAAGGGTATTTCCCTGAGTGCACCACTTCCTCTGTTGCTTTCGTAGACATTTCTCTTCAAATGAACCTAGTTAGTCCTGTAATCTTGGAACCCTCGGTTGCTATTCCGGGGTTAGGTGGAATGTGTTGTTTTGGTTTACACGGGATTTACACGTGAAATGAACAGCACTTCCACTGTTGCTCCCTGGGAATTTCCAGCACCACAGGGAAAATACCAGGGTTATACTAGTAACTACAGTATCGAAACACACCTTCAAAGTAATGTTACCATGACTACGACAAAACCAACGACCCAACCACTGAGGATCCACAGTCGTTTCTCGACCTAACGCAGTCTTTACGGCTGCTGGATCCTATTGGCACCAGCCGCATTGCTAGCATCGCCACTGGCATCGTCACCAGTGCGCGATCACCTCACAGCAATTGTTTCTTCGTCCCTACAAGCAACACCAATGCCACCATCGCAACGTCTTTGGCCATATAGATCGCAACACGGGGACTCCTTCTCAGTCCAACCATGTCCCCAGATGAAGCCACTGTCTTGGGAGAAATCTTCACCACCACGATGAAGCCCTTGATCGTTGCAGTCTCGGGCATGAACGACACTACAGTATCCTTCAACGACAGCTACTGCCGTCACCGACCGAGTTCAACCGCTGCCGTGTGGAAAGAAGACATGCTCGTGTATGTGTTGGGCAATCTTCAACCCACTTCACCATCCAAAGCGACCAGTACCATGTGAGCCGCGAATGACAACGACTTGGAACTCCTCAAAGCGTGGTTGACAAAGTACTATGAGTACGCTGGCACCCCCAGCGAGGACAACGCATTCATCGTAGCCGGGGGACTCAAACGACAAGCGCTCTTCGTGTAGCAAGTTGAGGGGACGCCAGTGGGATTAGCTGGCAACGCACCCCCCGTCGATGTCGAAGACGAAACTGTGTACCGAATTTGACCAGTGTTTATAGCGTCGATGAAGAGACGTAAGGGGTATGCGTTGGGACTCTCGGCAGCCCTGAGCCAGCACTTGCAGCCGACAAACCAGTCGCGATCGTCGCGCATGTGCCATTTTGCCGACGCAGCCAACCCGGCCTCCAACAAGGCGTACCAAAATGCAGGCTTTGAAGTGCACAGTCAACTTGCCGCGTATTCGTTTGAACCAAAGTAAAAACTATACTACCTCTGTCCGAAAGTGATTGCACGAATGGACATTTCAGGTGTGAAATTAGGGTTTCTCCTCCAAATCAGTGAACCTCCCACACTATTTGCATAACATGAATGTAAACCAAACCACCACTTTGACGTGTTGCCTAACAGGTTTCATCTCTATTAGTCATCCGCTGTAGTATGCTCCTCGTCCATAATTTCGACCATCGACCCAACAAGTGTTGCATGAGTACGGTATGCCGCCCATTTCGTACTTTGTGGTGCAGCAAGTAGCTGGTCCAGACGCCGAAGTTGTCAATTGTTTCAACTGCAACTTGACGTTGAAGTGCAAAGTAGTAGTACAAAGTCGATTATGGCAGCAAAACCACCTTCGTACTGTCCTCCAGTTGTTGTTGGAGGGCTGCAGTGTCATTATTTGCGATACCCGTGCGCATTCGACACTCCGTGCGCGCTGAGGGACGACGTGAGTTTGTTCTCTTCGTCGCAAAACTGCGCCAAGAGTTTCAATCGCGAAGTTGCCCATTTCGTGCGATCTTCACGCTCCAGTTCCAATTGAGCTAGAAGCGTCAATCGTTAGCGATTCATGTTGTAGACAAGTACAAACTTACCAAGCAGCGACTTGACCTTGTCTTCGAGCACCCGTTTTTCGTCGGAAATGTCCTGGGGTACTTGTGTCAGCAATACGAGGTCAACAGCGACGTTCAATCGTACTCGAAGAGCCATGCTTAGCTCCGTTACGTCGCCCAGCATCTTCTTCTCACGCTTCACGAGCGCTTTGTTTTGCTGGAAATGACATCGCGTGAGGGGTACTCATCAGTCGGTTCAACGTACCTCGTCCAGATGAAATCGATGGCGCTCCCGCTTTATAAACTCATGATGGCTGGCTTCGTTCCTACACACTAACGATGGAATTGCAGTCGATATCAACGCAAGCGTACCGTTTGTCGGATGTCGCGATCAGTGCCGTTAGCTCTGCCACCTGATGGTCTTTGGATTCGCACTTTTGTTCGAGTCCCTGCCAAGAAACCCGATCAGTACGACACGTCCGAGACGCCAATGGTTTCGAAAGTCTACTTGAATCAACGCCTGGAGCGTTTGCACTTCGCGGGCAGACTCGGTCTGTTGCTGCTTGATGTGATCTTCCAGTGCCTTGTTTCGCGCCTCCAACTCGGTCTGCGCCTTGTGCATGGCCGTCTTTCGCTTGAGAAATTTCGTCATTCGGTCCTGCCCCAACAACGCAATTGTTATTATGGCAACGCAATTTGATTCGATTTGGAAACCTCCGAGTCGGAAATCGCCCGGTCGCACTCTTGGATCATGGTTGTTTGCCGCGACGTCGTGGCCGCCAGTCCTGCAATCTGCATGGTCGTCCAGTATGTTAGTAACCACCCAAACGAAAATCGTACGGGTGTACCTTGCTGTCTGCAGCCGCCAAGTCGTTCAGAAGGCGCGTCCGCTCGGCCTCCCATGACGCAGACCCCGTTGCCGCCTGCTTCTCCAACGACAAGTTCGTCGCCTCCAATTGCGATATCTTGAGCTCGAGCTTGCCCTCCCTGCGCTCCGCCGTAGCTTTGGTGTCGCCCACGACGACTTCGAGCTCTCCAATTTTTGCCATGCGGGTCTCCAAGTCGTGCTCCATCAACTTGAGCTTGCTCTCGTACGTGCGGGTGGTCTCTTCCACGACGTTCTGCAGCGATTCCATTGCTTCCCGCCACCGCAACTCGAGCGCCTCGCGGGTGTCGATGGCGTCTTGTAGCTGTTGCCGCTTATCTCGAAACGCAGCGTCGACCTGCTCCAGCTTGAACTCCACCTGCAACACGCGACTCCGCAGCCGCTCGTTTTCACCTTCCACGCCTTGAAGTCGTTCCAACTATGGCACCAAACACTGTGTATATCAAAAAGCGAAACGGGGACAACATACCTCGTGACGACATGCCCGGATGGTATCTTCCTTTTGCGCCAACTCCATTTCCAACCGGTCGTTGTCGTGGCGAATATGCTCCACCTAATCAATCGTCACTTTGAATCGAATGCGCAACATTTGTACGAATACGAACTTGCAATCGCTGGAGCTTGAGGCGCTCGACAGATTGCTGAATCTCCGAGAGTTCTTGGGACGAATCCCCTAGCCATTTTTTCGCCTTCAAGTCTACGTCCGCCTTGGTCATGGAGGACGGATGATGGGGTTGATGCGGCGCCAAGTTTAACAGGCTGTCGCTAACTCTCAGCAGTTCGTCCAGCGACGACGATACATTCGCAGTCCGCCGAGGGGGCATCTGGACGACCGCCGCCCCACGTGCATCCGAGATCTTGTCCGTGGCTACATACAGCCCCACGCAAGGCGAACGCATGAGTTTTGATGACGAATGCATTGAATGAATAAAGGCATGTGTACTACAAACCGAGGTCGCTGCAGGTTAAGCTGCTCATTCCAAAATATACTAGCACCGCTGGCGATTGTCGAGAGGATGGAGCGTTTCACAAGGCTTCACTTTGAAACGGCGCCACGATTGAAAGTGTAACCGCACACGACACATTACTGGCCAATCAAAACAAGGTCTGTAAACAATACTGCTTCTTTTATCCAGTTAATGTATGTGAATTGCCTGCCATAGCCAGGCTATGACTATTGCAGAATGCAGTGCGCGCATGCCGAAGGGGGCACAACTTCCACGTCCTCGTCGCCCGCATCATCATCATGGACTTGGGTGGTCGACAGTTTCCACGAGTTGGAAGGTAGCGCCTTTTCGCCTCCGCCAAGTGGATTGACACCGTCAGCCTTGGAGTCTTGGACGGCAGGAGACGTGTTGCGCACGACTACCACGTCGCCTTCGTCGTGGCTGTCTTGCTTCACGGTGATGGAGGCCGTCGCAGGAGCGTCGGCAGGCTGCACGGGCGCTGGCGTCAACGGAATCTCTTTCAGCGGAGTGGAAACCACTGCAAACGAAGGCCGTTTGGACAGAGATGGCGCCGGGGGCAGCGTTGGGGGAACATACGGTAACACGATCTCGTCGTCGACCTTCGAAAACGAGTCTGATGGCGTGGGGGGCAGAGGCGACTTGACAGCCGCGGAAAACGAGTCGGTGGTCCTTCCCACTTCCGACACCACGACCGTAGCGGCTTCGCTGCGAATGGCATCCGACTCGACGTCGCTCACTTCGCGATACGTCAACTAGTGGAGACCAAGATGAGATTGCTGAATAAGGACGATAACGATGAAGTACCCGTGCGGCTGGCACGACATTGGGCCGCGTCACGGTGAACGTAATCGCCGGGCCTTTCTTCGCCGTCGTGAGGAAGCCGCCGTGGCCAGACGTTTTCGACTTCTTGAGGATGGTCACGACGTTGTTAAAGTTCTTGCGCGTGCGGTTGGCATCGTGGCATGTCAAGACGAGGTTGGCGTCGTTGAATTGGATCTTCGACGGGTCCTTTCCCTTGAACATGAAGGTCATTTCGCCCTTGACACCGAATTCCTGCAGCCCAATGCCGTCCGACATGCCTGGTGGATTGCTGTTTAACGAACTGACAGGGGCGCCGCCAGACCCAGCGAATTGAAGGGTAAAGAGCTGATTGTAGCTCAGCTCGCTGCCCGCTTCCGCACCACCGACAGGGGCTCTATAAGATGCGGTTAATAACACTCAAGGTCGCGAAATTCGCAAAAAATCAAGAGCGTACATGATAAACGTAGCCAACTCGCTGGAAATACCCTCTTGGATGGGCGGCGCAACCAAAATCGTTTGCCTGATCGCCGAGTCAACGACGAAGCGCACGCGACCGAGCTCTCCTTCTGGAGACTTGGCCGCTAATTGAATGCTGTCCCCATTTCTCACATAAATCGAAGAAGATAGCGGCGAGCCCGTGGAGACTTCCGCGCCCTTGGCGGCGCTGGTAGCTCCGACGCTCTGCTTGCCGAACGTGTCCGTAATGGCATTAATGGAGGTTGCCTTAAGGTTTCCTGTGTCAAGTGGCGCCGACACCGCGGGAGTGGCAAGGACTGCGTCGCTCATCGTTTTCTGGAATGCCCGTGGAGTGACGACTGAAACCTCCATACCACCCGACCATATTTAGCTCAGCAATACGAAACGGCCGCCTCTTGAACGGCGGTTTTCAATTGGATCGCAATTATTATCCGGATGGTTTTTTTATCCGAAAGTGGATTCCAAAATCGCAATGTGGTTTGTCTGGAATGCTGGCCTTGCCGTGACGGCGATGGGGCTGACCTGCATGGTTAGCAGTGTTTTCGCATGCATATACAACATGTCCCAGTGGCTCGGTGCGTCAGTCCCTGGATTGTTCTTCCAGTGCCTCCTGCTTGCTTCGAGCTGGTGGACGTTAGCATCGCACTGGTTCACGATGACCACAAACCCAGGGACAATTCCCAAAGGCATCAGGATATCTCAGCTAACAGCGACGAACGAAGAGGCGCAGGATGCAGTTAAACACGTGGAGCTTGTGTACTGCGAACGTTGTGACGCCGATCATCCAAAGCGGTACAACACTGACTTGCCTCGTAAGGCAGTTCGTGCTAGCTGACATTGATCCGACTACTGTAGATCCGAGCATTGCGATACATGCCAAGGATGCGTGGTGCTAATGGATCACCACTGGTACGGTATACATATATTCTACGTGTGTCTTCACTAATTGGCATGCTGTAGCCCGTGGGTGAACAACTGCATCGGCATTGGAAACGCAAAGAACTTCATTCTCATGCTGCTGTATGTTGTCGTCCTTTGTGCGTTGATGGTCGTGTTGACGGTGGCGCAACTTTGGTTATGCGCTTCCTCGACCGTATGTGGACTAAAAGAGGGTTCAAGTCCAGGCCGGGTGGGGATGTGGGTACTCGCCGTCTCAAGTCTATTCATGGTGCTGTGTGGCCTCATGCTGGCGATGGAGATGTTCAGCATTGCCGAGGACGAAATCTACGGTGCGATTGCATCTGAGCTGTCAAGCCTTCAGGAATCCAGGGAGCACGGCTCCAAGCTCAGTCGACGTCTGGGTATCCTGTTCGGAAGTGACGCATTTGGCTGGCATTGGCTCGTGCCTGGGCGGGACGTACACTTGCGACGGCGGGAGGAAGAAATGGATATCATTCTCGGCTATCACGAAAGGGATTAGTAATACAGTGTATTTGAAGTAAGATATCTTCAGCGGTCTCATCCGGATATATCCGGTGATGCATGCCGCAACTGTTTGTCGAGCAATGGACGGCGACGATGGGCGTAACTCGATGGAAAGTGTGGTGCGAACGAATGTTACGATGGCGTCAAGCATTCCCAGGCTCGATCTAGTCATGACAAGGCAACACCTACAGCTGCCATTCTGGAGAATTTGTACTTGCCTCTAGCCTCGTCCGGCGGCACGGTGCTTGCCTTCCATCCAGAGACTGCAATGACGGAGCAAGTACCACGCGTGTACGTATGCCACCACGTTGGCAGAGTCCGTTGTTGAGATTTCAGCTGAAACGAACGATACGACGAATGCTAAGCTTCTCTGGTGAATCGGTCAAGTTACAAGGGTCGAAGCCATCCATCGATTGGCATGCGATTGATATGGTGGACGAACCCGAAGGCCCCCGAAGCCAAAGCGGACAGTCCTCTGCAGAAGGCCTCGATGAGTTTCTGCAACCTTGCACGTGCCTTGCCATATCAAGATGACAGTGAGAAAGGCATGGCCGAGCAGGTGAACAAGGTTGACAACTGCAATCTCATGGAACGTCCGTCCAAGCATCATCCTGCATGGTCCACCTCCGCCAAGTCTTCTATGGACTGTTCCGACCGGTCGATAAATGCATTGTCATTCAGCAATGCAAGACAACTTCGGTCATTGTTCACCGCCGATACCCACGACACTCCTCAACCGGATGGTACGTACTCCTTTCCAAGCGCAACGTGAGACCGACTACTATGCATTGTGCCGCTGCTTCGACTGTGTGTGCATGTTGAATTGAGTCATGTCGGGCTAAGATGGGGTCGGGACCCCGCCTGCCTTAATTGTTTCATTGCGTTCAACGACTTCGTCTGCGCGACAGTCCGCGTCAAGCCCATGGAATTTGCAGTCCACTTCATGCTTCCGGCCCTCCAAACAATTCGCAGAAGCGCCAGTACAAGACGGCGAGATTCCGTGCAGCCAGTGCCCCTGCTGCCGCATAATGGGTTGGCGCTTTGTAGTGCGCTGTAAAGTAGGGGGCTCGCGTTCCACTTGACACCCCCGGAGTTGTTATTATTGACGCTACATATGGATGTGGCACAAGTGATCGCGACTCTTTCCTTGGCCTACATATATTGCATGTGACATTGAAGAAACGTCGTGTGAGAATGATGCATTTAAGTTTGGCCAGTCCATCTCCCTTGGTCTCAACTCCTTCATCCTCTACACCAAAAAGCGTGTTCTTGACGAGTGTGTATGTAGATGCTGGCTACGAATGTGTGGTGCTGGTGGGTGGCGACAGCACCGCTAATGAATTCGTCAACGGCCGTTTGAGTCGCCCTGAAGTCGAGTGGAGGCAGTTTTTTGTCGTAGCGACCCCACTGGCATTCCTTAGTCTGAAAGGAGCCACAGACACCCTCAGTCGACACATGCAAGCAGCGTTGCACGTAGCCTCTATCTATGCCACCCTGACGCATAAAATCCGATCGCTAGATGTGTTGGCTGTGGAATCTCCGCCTGGCACCACCAGTTTCGCCTGTTGTGGTGTGGCAGCTGCCGTTCCCGGTGATGTCCGTCCGTCCAGTGGATGTGGCCATCGTGGCAAAATGCGTACCTGATGGTCAAGCACACTCTGTTTGGTCGATGTGTGGCATGTCGACTTCGCTATGTCGAGTTAGTCGCACCTTCAGCTCCGTTGGACTACGAATCCACGCACGTGAACCATAATATGGCGACGATGCCTACCCAAGTGAGGTCTCCAAGATAAAGTTGTGGCAAGGGACGCTAGCGCGACCCCTAGCGGCGGCGGAACCTCATCACACGGAGGAAGAAGGATCGTTTGCAGTGGTGGAGGGTTGGACGGCAACAGCTGAAGTGCGACATCATTCGGACGGGTACATGGAATTTGTGGCAGTGCGTCGCGGAAGTCTGCTTGGGCCGGCCGTGACAACTTGGAAAGCCGCGCGCGGTCAGGTGCATCCGCCGGCTACGACCCGACGAGTTGCGGTATATACTTCCTCTGGGGGAACGAGGCCAAATGTCAATGTGTGTGGACAGCCACTTCAAGCCCACAACGGGGTTGTGCGCATCCCCGTGGTCCGCAATCTGCTCGCGGAGTCGACATCGTAGGAACCATTGGAAGGATGAACCCGTTGAATAATATAATAGTGAAGGGATCGTTCTATATGTTGCTATGTGGACAATGAGGCATCTCCCAATTGCCGGACGAGGTCGATGTCAAGTTGCCTTGCTGCGTGCACACGCTTTCGCTGCCGATCTTGGTGGACTTGGGCGAGATATTGTGTCGCGGGTAGTTTGGTGTTGGTCGAGTGGTGAAACAGCTGTAACGTGAGTTGGGGGCCACTCTTGGTCCGTCGTCCAAGAGATGTCGACGGGGGAGCTGCACCTACGACATCTGGCATGTACGCTCCTGGTCCTGTTTCGCTGTTCGGGTTGGCTTTCGAGGCAAACACATCTGCCAAACAAACAGCGTCGCCACTTGAAAGTGCAAGGGTATTGTGACGTACATCCATCGTGGAATGGAATTACATCGGGGGGAGTGCCTTTGGGGATGGTAGGGAGCCTGGTACAAATGTATTAAATGAGGTACATTCCATCCACAACTTCAGGATTTCGTAGTGAAGATCAAGAGTGGGATGATACGAATCGAATGGCTAGCATCACAAGACCGACTTTGTACCGTGGAGACATTTCAAACGTAGAGTGGGCGTCGAGTCGCTGACAGTGCCCTGGCATGGGCGTCTCGTACTTTGTGTGTGTGATGTCGATGGCGTCGAAGAACCGCTTCTCAGTGTGCATGAACGGAACACTCTTTGGCCGGGCGAGGCTGTGCGCAATCTATTTACGTCAGGTGGCTCAACATGAGCCCCGAACTGTATCGCAGAGTACCTCGCCGTACGACGGCAACACCACGGCATTTTTCCTCCTAATGGATCACGTACACCTTGTCAAGACGACATTTCTCCTCGTGCGATGGACGAACCTCGTGGTCGCTCGCGCGCGAGGGTTGGCAAGTTGCCGCGCTTCTGCTTCGTCGGCTTCGAGGGCGGCCTTTTCTAGCAGCAGCGCTTGCACGAGGTCAAACGTTTCATTGCACATGGCTTTTTGCTTTTCCACGGGCAAACTGGGCAACGCCAGCGCCTTTTTGTACTTGAGTTGTTTGATTTCCCGAGTGATTTGCTTGATTTTGACTTGACATGTGGACAAGTTCTTCAGCGGCGCAGTGCTACAGACAACGGATAACCACATGTAATGACGATCGGTGTATTCGTCATAATGTACGACTGTACCGGAAGTAGTCGTCGAACGTTTGCGATGCCATCACGGCACCGTAATTGGATGTGTAGTGTCCTGGACCAGGTGTCTCTGGTCGCGGTCGCACGTCGGGAATGTCTACAAGGTCTGATTCGTTAGGGTCTTGCACCGTGACAATATGTATTATCGTACTCTGAATAGAGTAGTCCTTGACGGTATTGAATGCCGTGGTAATCTCGTTGGTCGGGTATTGCCCAGGCCCTGGGTAGTCTGGCACCTGCATTACAATCCAATCAACACTCAAAGACATACTACGTGGACGCATACCGATTGATCCACAATATCTAGCGTGTCGCGTTCTGCAGATGCTAGACAATGAAAACGACAGGGTCAAGTGAGATTCATCAACTCCTAGTAGTACATCCAAAGGCGTGGGCATTCTGCAACACGTCGGGCAATGGCTTGACGGGACTGCTGAAGCAACCCCAGTTATTGTACATCCGCTCTGTGGACCTGGCCTGGGATGATCGCTCGCGCCTGAGCTGAAGCTTCATCCTTCGGTTGCCGTCCGCATCGTTGCCAGTTGTGGGCCCTTCCTTGTTCATCAGGCAGGAACATGCAAAACGTGTGATTATCCGGACGTTACCTGTCTTTTTATACCTGATGTCCGGATAATTTCTCAAAATCTAAAAATAGATTCACTACAGGCGACCGAAACCACGCCCCGCTACGATGGCGGACGGAGCGCCGTCACGGGTTGTGGTTTCGAGGTTTCCCATCAAGCAGTATATTCCTCTGCGTACCGCTAGGTAGGGACGATTGACGTTGCTGTATGGCTGAAAGATTTGTTCGTATGTATACAGGCAAGGATCAGCGCCTGGGTTTCGCGCACGCATGCTAACCAGCGTGAAGAAAGACGTCACCACAGATCCAACATACGCGGTATTAGATATGATGAGCGCTGTGCTGTTGGAAATGAAGCTGTGTCTGGTAGGTCACAAAGTGGTCGAAACAACCCACCAAACCCTCCCCAGGAGCACATGCGGAAGTGAGCCGACCCAAAACGGCCAGCGGCGGCTCGGGCAGCAAAAAGCTCCAACACGCCCTCGTGTGTGCTCGATTGTTGGCTGAAAACAAGGCATTCGAACTCGCATCGCAGCGAGCAAATGCCATTACAAGCGGGAAGCAGACTAGTGACAAGGTACGATCCATGCAATTTAATTTTCCAACATGGGAACGGTAGACACCAACACGGGGGCGATGTAAAAGTGCCAGCAGTGTCAAACGCGTGATAAAGACTCAGAAAGAGTCGGTCCAGACGCTGCCGCCATCAACCACGACGACGAACAACAACCAGCGACACCATCCATTGCCTCGATGCAAGTTCCAAACCGTCGAGCACCAAGTCATCCCGCTCACAGCCATCATACAAGCCCTTGCCACGATTGTCGCGAAACCGGCAAATCGACCCGAGCGAGACGAGATTTGCTTTAGCATGCTGGACGAGGACAACGTGCACACGACCACCCTCGACGGGTACGTTCTCGGCAAGGTGGTAGGCGTGGGAACGTTTGGCAAAGTACGCGTGGCGACCCATAAGGTGTCGAGCCAAGTGGTGGCCATCAAGTCGTACGAGCGCAGCCGCACCAAAGATGCCGCGCAATGGAAGCGCATTCAATACGAAGCCAAGCTCATGGAGAAACTCGACCATCCGTACGTGGTAAATAAACGTCGTGACTTGTCTTGAACTATATGTGGGAGTAGGTACATCATTCGGTTGTTTGAGACGATTGAAACCTCCACCAAGCTGCACATTGTCATGGAAAACGTCAGCAGCGACGTGGGAAACTTGTGTGAGTTTGTCAAACGGCAAAAGCGGCTGGCCGAAGACGACGCGGGGCTGCTGTTTATGCAAGTCGTGTCGGCAGTCATGTACATGCACAGCATGCAGCTCGTCCATCGAGACATCAAACTGGAAAACATCCTCCTCGACCGCTACGGCAACACCAAGCTCGTGGACTTTGGCTTTAGCGCCGTGCAGTCGACGTCCAAGCCGTTTTCAACCTTTTGCGGAACGCCCTGCTATATGGCCCCAGAGATTATCCATCGCAAAACGTACTGGGGCCAACCCGTCGACGTATGGAGCCTCGGCGTGCTGCTGTTTGCGATGCTTTGTGGGTACTTCCCCTTTCGCGCGCGCAACTACAACGACTTGTACCGCAAAATCGTCAAGGGCGGGTTCGACATCCCTGGCTTTGTCACTCCAGACGCCCAGGCGTTGCTAAGGGGCATGCTGGAGGGCGACCCAACAAAAGTACGTTCGTCTGCTACTTGCTTGGAGTAGCGACTAATTGGTTTGTTGCAGAGACTGCAGCTGCATGACGTGAGAAGCCACATCTGGACTCGTCAATTTCACACCGCAAGACACCAACATCTGCCCCTGTACCGTCAACTTAGCTTGGATCTCCTCGCAGATGCCGTCAAATCGGTGCTACAGCGCCAGCTTCTAGATCACATGGAAGTTCTCGGCCTTCCACGCAGCATGGTGGTCACAGCCTTGACTGGCAAACTGTACAATGGCCTGTCCACGCTGTACTACCTATTGCTGTACCGAGCTGAATCTATGTGTCGCGAGCTCAATTCCCCAACCACAGCGACCACGTTACCGTCTTCAACTACAACGTCCTCCACTGCTGAATCGCTGAGAGCGTCGTTTCCGTCGACGGCCGCGTCCGAAGCCCTGCCTGTACATATCCAACCCGAGGGCTCCATCACATTATACTCTCTGACCCAACTTAGCGGTCCACCGCCGCCACCCCCCGAAGAAGACTTGCACTCAGAAGAAAACGATCCGATCGCCCTGTGGCAAAGTCGAGAGCTGCGCGATGTCGTGGAAATATTAGACAAGGGCATGTAACACTAATCCAACCCCCGCCACATATAACACTAATTCAACCCCTGTCACATACCATTAGTACTTATCCCGCGATGTGTGGTTCAGAGGGGGCACGGCCATTCGTTTCTTGGGCACATCGCAGCCTGTGTGTGGTTTTTTCACTGCAATGGGCGGCAGACTAGCATGTGACTGTACCCTTGTGGGGACTGGTGGATGCACCGCCTTCGCGTTGGGTAGCTTGGGCAAGAACGCTCCTTGTTTCGTGTTGATCTGGCGTTGCAACTCGCTGCATTCTGCCGCACACGTGTCCAGCTGCGACTGGGCCATCGCGATGGCTTCCTGCAACCGCGCCGTTTGTTTTTGCATGCGGTGGACTTCGTGCGTCGTCGTGGCTTGGACGTGGATGGCTTTTTGCAGGTAGTACCCTTCGTCCGTTCGCTGCAACGTCTTCTCTCGTTTCAACAGTTTGAGCTTGGCGTTTGCTTTCTCGGTCGCTGTGACCGAGTCAGGCTGGTTCAGCTGACGCCACGTTGTCTTGAGCTGCTCGTGGCGACATTGCACTGCCTTCCACTTGGCTTCTTCCTCGTCCGAGACAACGGCGTGGCTCTTTTTGCAAGCTTGGATCTTCTTGCGCATGATGTCCAGTTCCGTCATCGTTTTCTGGAGAAGTGTTTCCCACTCGTTTGCGTCGATGCTTTCTTTTTGCCGCTTGGTCACCCGTTGAAGGCTCTTCTTTTCCGATGCCAGCTGTTCGAGCACGACGTCGTACTCACGATCACCTCCTCCGCGGTTGCCTTGGCGAGGTTTCGACATTCCTTCCTTGGAGGGATGTTTGCTCGTGTCTAGGAAAAGTTGTTTTAACCGAACGTTTTCCACTTGAATCTCGTGTAACTCTGCCAGCGCGGCTTGAATATCGTCGTCTGTGGCTGCGCTCGTGCCGGCCACTGTTTTGTCGTCGTCGTCGTTGTGCGTGGACTTTGGCCTGTTGGTTTTGGGTGGCGAATACGCAGCAAGCACAGTTGGTGGCAGTTTGAGGGGCTTAAGGCTGCTCGCTGCTTTCATTAGACTAGTTGGATGGTGCCCGTGGTGGAATCCCCTTGGAGGTCGCAATCCAGAGGGTTGGGTGGGGTGTTTACCCTTCGCCTTCAATGATGGAAACAGCCGGCTCAAGTGCGCGTGGACTTGTGCCTTGCTCAAGCATCCGTCGACGTGCACTACCTTTGTATGCGCAGCCAACACGGCTTCGATGTCAACGCAATGCGCTCGGTATTGCGCCAAACTCAAGCGCACGGCACCTTCCGTGTCGTCTGTTCTCAGCTTGACGTCCACGCCGGGCGGCGGCGGGTCGAACGTCACGTGGTACGTGTGGTCCGTAACTGGGTCGAACCGTCGGCCACTGATACGGTGCACCACTTCGTTGTCGTCCACGACATCGAGGACCACGACGATATCTGGAACGATGTCATGCTCTACCAACGCCTTGGCTTGGCCACTAGTGCGAGGGAACCCGTCGAGCGCCCACCCATTGGTTCGGCACTCCCGCGCCCGAAGGATCTCCACGGTTGTGCCGACGATAAGTGAGTCTGGAACAACATCCCCCACCTCGACATATACCTTTGCCTTCACTCCCACGCGGGTTTCAGCGTCAATCGACCGCCGCAGCATTTCGCCCACACTAAAGTGCACCACGCCCAAGTGCTCGTGAAGCCAGTGGCAATGATACGATTTGCCCGAGCCTGGTGGGCCTAATACGGCTACCGTCGGTGGTTGATGGGTTTGAGACGCCACAGCCGCATGGCGCAATACAGCCTTTTTGGCCAGCCGCAAATGGTCCGACTCGCTCAAAGAGAGTTCTTCGTCCGCATATCCCCCACCCTTCCGTGCTATCGTTTCAACGACCTCGATCGCGGTGTCGACACTTTTCACCACGCCCGGTTTGGGCAGCATCCCGTCCACATGCAAGATCGTCGACAGCGGCACAAACGTGTCCACGACGGCATCGCAGTTGGCGTGGTATGTGGCCAGACGCACTCGGATCGTTTCTTCGTTGTCGTCACTTCGCTGCACCACATCCACACCCGGCGGCGGCGGATTGAACGTCACGTGGTACGTCTTGCCGGTGGTGAGGTCTACTCGGCGTCCAGAGATGCGCGCCACCACTTCGTCGTCCGGGACGTGCAGCACCAGCACGAGGTCGGGAACGATGCCCGCGTCGACCATGGCCTTGGCTTGGACGGGTGTTCGTGGAAATCCGTCCAGCAGCCACCCCTTCTGCGCGCAGTCAGGCGCTTGAAGCCGCTCTAAGATGACGTGCACAATCAAGTCATCGGGCACGAGGGTTCCAGCGTCCATGAACTGTTTGGCGCGAAGGCCCGTGTTCGAGTTGACCTGGATGGCCGCTCGGAGCATGTCCCCTGTCGACAGGTGCACGACGCCATACTTTTCGACCAGTCGTTCGCACTGGGTGCCTTTGCCGCCTGCCGGGGGTCCGCAAATGACGAGTCGAAGGGGGTGCTTCATGCTAGATTTGTCGCGGTGGTGTTGCCGCGGGTTCGGAGGCTTCGTGGTTTTGCCAGGGGATGTCATGGCTTGTACAATTTGGCTGGCGATGTCTTCTATGGGAAGGGAGCCATCGACGGTCAAACGCCGACATATAGACGCAAACGAGTCCACGACCGCGCCACAATGTTCGTGATAAGTGGCGAGCCGGACGCGGATCGTTTCTTCGGTATCGTCGCTACGTTGAACCACTTCCACGCTCTCGGGGGGTGGGTTGAACTCGACGTGATACGATTTACCTGTCGCCGGGTCCAGGCGGCGACCCGCTATTCGCGACACCACTTCGTCGTCTGGGACGTTGAGGACGACAACCAGCGACGGGGAAATGCCCCCATCGAGCATGGCTTGGGCTTGACCGGCAGATCGCGGGAAGCCATCGAGCAGCCACCCTCGCTCGACACAGTCGGGCTGCTTCAGGCGGTCCAAAACAGCGTGAATGATCAATTCGTCTGGAACGAGGTTGCCTGCGTCCATAAACGCTTTGGCTTGTAAACCGACGTCGGTGCCGGCTTTAATGGCAGCTCTAAGCATGTCCCCCGTAGAAAGGTGGACCATTCCGAATTGCCGGACAAGGAGGTCGCATTGGGTGCCTTTTCCGCCCGCAGGGGGGGCACAAAGGACTAGTTTCGGCGGCGCGGCTATTGTTTTAATCGGGGACGACTGCTTTTGAATGTTTTTCGGCTTGCTCTCGTAGGGAGGTGGAACGTCCGACGTCGACGCTATCTTTGCTTGTAGTTTCGTCGACCGAGGGGTGGACTTGCCAGAGATTTGACGGAGTCCACTGGGGCGAGGAGATTCCATTAATTCATGGTGCTCTTTGAATGAGATTTGCGGCTTTGGTGAGCGAAATCCCTTGGCTTCTCCTTCCACCAATACTTGTCGCTTAAAGGGGGAGGTCGAAACACCAGTCGGAATGGCCTGAATCCCGGTGTCCGCCTGTGTCACCACTTCCAGTTTGGGCAGCATCCCGTCCACATGCAAGATCGTCGACAGCGGCACAAACGTGTCCACGACGGCATCGCAGTTGGCGTGGTATGTGGCCAGACGCACTCGGATCGTTTCTTCGTTGTCGTCACTTCGCTGCACCACATCCACACCCGGCGGCGGCGGATTGAACGTCACGTGGTACGTCTTGCCGGTGGTGAGGTCTACTCGGCGTCCAGAGATGCGCGCCACCACTTCGTCGTCCGGGACGTGCAGCACCAGCACGAGGTCGGGAACGATGCCCGCGTCGACCATGGCCTTGGCTTGGACGGGTGTTCGTGGAAATCCGTCCAGCAGCCACCCCTTCTGCGCGCAGTCAGGCGCTTGAAGCCGCTCTAAGATGACGTGCACAATCAAGTCATCGGGCACGAGGGTTCCAGCGTCCATGAACTGTTTGGCGCGAAGGCCCGTGTTCGAGTTGACCTGGATGGCCGCTCGGAGCATGTCCCCTGTCGACAGGTGCACGACGCCATACTTTTCGACCAGTCGTTCGCACTGGGTGCCTTTGCCGCCTGCCGGGGGTCCGCAAATGACGAGTCGAAGGGGGTGCTGCTGCTGTTGCTGCTGGGGACGGCGAGGGGGGTATTTTGGGCTGATGACGACGATGGGGGACGAGTCTGGCTCTGACGAATGCACTTTACCTCGTGCAGCGCCATGCCATTCGCGCAACTCTGCATCTGTTGTGGCCAACGGCACTCGATTGGATTTGGCGAGATTGCGCCTGCAGGACTGCCGCCTGCGAACTTGGTACTGGAGGTGGATGATCCCAGAGATCGTGCGGTGTTCGACGTCGTCAAACACGTAACTCATGGGCACGATGGTCGAAAGCGGTGTGATTTCCATCGGAGGCAAGTCTTCCGCGATCACATCGCCTACATCCACAGACAAGTCCAGGTGGCGCCGCGTCTCCATGTCCAACCTTTCCAATTGGTTTCAGTGTAACTGACAACGTTACGACAACCCCATCCAACGAAAGTGCAAGTTCCGAATCGGTAGATGTTTACAATCAACATTCACATCAATTGTACTACTTTGTTACTACTTTGTTACTACTTTGAAGTATTATACAGTACATCCGTGCCCACCCACAAGTTGCAGACACGGCGACGTGATGGCAAGAAAACTCACAATCACCACCCACACAAACCCAAAGGCGTAGATGGCCACTGCACAGGCCCCGCCGACGCGCGACGCAAGATGCGGCTGTTTGAGTCGGTCGAGGGCTTCGATGGAATTGGGCAAAAGGTACGGGATGAAGGGAAGAGCGAGCAGCCGAATGACGCTGGTAACGACCGTCAGTTTCCAGATGCCGTCGATTTCGCCGGCTTTCATATCTTCCAGTTGTACGGGCCAAATGCCTAGCAGGGCGTTCGAGATGGTGCTGGCAAACCCTCCAGACAGATTGGAGAAGCCCGTGAGAAGCGCATAGGCCACAGCTTCCTGGCCTTCGGGGCACACGCGCGTGAACATAATGGCGGATGGGAGGTACTGCACCCCGTACGCAAACTTCATGATAGCCGAGTCCCCCATTGCGAACCAGTACGCCGGCAGGCCCAGGGGTTCGTTGAGGCGGAACACCAACACAATGTTGGCGACGGAAAAGATTGCAATCACCACGCTCGCAAATGTATACACAAAGTGCCAGTGCCCCCCGTCCAGGAGGTACCGCTTGTATACGAACACGCCGAGAAAACCGACGGTTGAGCCTGCGGCTGCCATGGATCCATACTCGAACGCGTTGAACGCGTACCGGACTTGGAGAAAGTTGCCCCACGCGGCGTTGTACGTGTGCAGCGTGTGGTAGAGCACGATGAAGCTGAGGGGCTGCCACGTCGCGCGCAGACACAGCATCTTCCAAATCATGGCCATTTGGCCCCGGAAGGGAAGGACAGTCACGACAACTGGCTCGTCCATGAAGTACAGAAACGGAAGGATCGTGATCACGGGAAGCAGCGCCAAGAGTCCAAAGCACTGGCCCATCGACAGCCCCCAGCCCCACGAGTCGCGGTTGGATAGGATGGACCCGCCCCAGTACCCCACCGTCTCTGTGAGGAAGCGGAGCATGTAGATCGTGCCTTGGATGTGACCCCGAGACCCTTCCGGCTCGGCCATGGCCTTGTACGTGAGAAGGGCGTCGGCCATGACGTCGACCATGATGAGGCCCAACATGGAGAAGAAGAGGAGGGTCGTGAAAGTGATCACAGACATGTTGTCGGCATATTGCGCCAACAAGAGGTTGAAGATGGATGCGATTGCATAGCCTAGCACCATGTATGGCTTGAAACGATGGCCCGCGATGGGAAATACGTCTGCCAGGACCCCATAGAGCACCTACGAAGGAGGTGACATATGCATGTGGGTGTGGATGGATGGTACCTTGAATGTCCAAGGCAGGTTGCGCACAACGCCAATGGTACTCAGTTGCGAGTCGGACGCCCCGAGCTGCCGCGGGTAGTACTCGATGAACGCATTGGGGAAGGTGATGATAAGACCGATGCAAATGTAGTTTAGCGGGATGGCAATGTTACTCAACGCCCACAACGACGATGACGACTCCCTCGATGCCTTGCCTGCGGCATCAGTCGCCACGCCTTTGCGTTGCAGGACATGGTCGATCTCAAACGAATGATACTCCGCCTCCATGGAGGGATGGTTCGCAGGCTTGTGATGATCTCAACCCACCAACTCCGCCACAACCAACGGGTGCAAATGTGGAACGATCATTTTTGAAGGTGTAACGGTTCTATTTGCAATCAGATCTTGTATAGCTAGATTACCGTTACTGTAGTTTTGGAGTTTGCTTCCAGTATCAATAGAAGGCGATGTGTGTGCAATGGTTGAGGCCGTGACCACGAGGTCTGCATCCAAATGGAGAACAACCACCGCGCTCTCATCACAAAATATGCTTTCTCCATTAACCAGAGGCAAATAGTTCCTAAGCTTCTTCGCACCACTTGTTCTCTTCGCGAATTTGACTCTCTTCTTCGGGGGTGAAGTCGTTCGTGATGTTGAAGGTTTCGCGGATTTCCTGGGGAGTCTTGCCCTTGATCATGCTCGCCACCTTTGCACAAGCCAAATCCAGAAGACTCTTGATGTCCATGTAGTTCGCAGCCTATATGTGATCCTTGAGTGCAATGGAAGGCCGAAAAGGCGACGTACCAAGATCAATTCAAAGAGCAAATCTTGCTCAATGTCGACGAACGACGCATCCCATTCGCCGACCACGTCGTTCATGTCGCCACTACGCAGAGGCTGTGCCACGAACGTCAGATGAAACGCTTCTGAAGCGAAGGGATCGTACCTTTTCGATATCTGCCATCGGATTGTTGTGGTGGTGGCTGCAGAATTCAATCACTTTGGACAACACGGTGCTTTTGACGTTGGGAAGCGGGATTTCCTGCACTTCCTCGTCCTGCTCGTCGGCAATCATCGTCCGCACCAACTCGCTCATGATGGCGACGGCGCGGGACACTTCAAAGCTGTCCCCATCTTGCGACACCAAGTTGACTTTGTGCGTCGATTCGTCGGCCATATTGCGATAGTACTATGCTGCTGCAGGGGGATTTCTGGATTTTACAACGGGATGAACGGTCCAAACAGAGACGCACGAAGTCCCAGCGGGGCCTTTTAATTGGCTAAAATTCATATACTTGAATTCACTATGCATCAAGTCACCACCCATCATGAGAGTGCGCCGTTAAGCTTACTGGATGTCTTATCGACAATAATGGACTTACAGTTAACACTTCTACACACACATGAATGCTGCCTTCCCTGAGCGCCTTTCATAGCGGCTCTGTCTAGAGAACGCTCGTCTTTGCATTACAGTAGATTGAAGACAACCCATCCTGTTAATCTGTACAACACACCAGACTACTACATTTCATTCAGAATATCCAAGCGTCACTTGGGGCCTCTTGGCAGTTCTTGTCGGGTACGCATGTGGTCGGTCTGTCTATCGTTGTTGCTCCATACTACGTATACAGCGTTGACATGTTAGAGCGACCGCGCTTTGTATCAATGACAAAATATGTCGTGATGGAGTAGTCGAACACGGACGAATTCACGAATCGAAGTTCGCATTCGAAATACGTATTGTGAACGCCATTAAATTCAAGACATTTGATTCGCTGAAAAGATGTACAAACGTCAAGCCCATTGGCCAGCCAAACTATTGTTTTGGCTGGTGGTCACGCCCAAGGTGTACCATGGCCAAGACTGCGGCCGTTTTCACTTCCCATTTCCCTTCAAGATGTCGCATCGTAAGTTTGAAGCTCCCCGCCATGGTAACCTTGGGTTCCTCCCCAAGAAGCGTACCAAGCACCATCGTGGTCGCATCCGCAAGTTCCCCCGCGATGATGCCACCAAGCCATGCCAATTGACCGCTTTCGTGGGCTACAAGGCCGGTATGACCCACATCGTGCGCGAAGTGGAACGTCCTGGCTCCAAGGTGCACAAGAAGGAAATCGTCGAAGCCGTGACCATCGTGGAAACTCCCCCGATCGTCGTCGTCGGTGTGGTCGGTTACTTGGAAACCCCCCGCGGTCTCCGCACCTTGACCACGGTGTGGGCTGAACACTTGAGCGAAGAAGTGCGCCGCCGCTTCTACAAGAACTGGTACAAGTCCAAGAAGAAGGCGTTCACCAAGTACGCCAAGAAGTACGCCGAGAAGCCGGCCGAGATCGAAAACGAACTCAACCGCATCAAGAAGTACGCCCAAGTCGTGCGTGTGATTGCCCACACCCAAATCCGCAAGGTCAAGCTCCGCCAAAAGAAGGCGCACCTGTTGGAAATCCAAGTCAACGGTGGCTCGGTCGCGGAAAAGGTCGACTTTGCCCACTCCTTGTTCGAAAAGCCGGTGCCCGTCACCGCTGTCTTCTCGCAAGACGAGATGATTGACGTGTGCGCTGTCACCAAGGGTAAGGGGTTCGAAGGTGTGATCACCCGTTGGGGTGTGTCCCGCCTTCCCCGCAAGACCCATCGTGGTCTCCGCAAGGTGGCTTGTATCGGTGCCTGGCATCCGTCGCGCGTACGTTTCACCGTCGCGCGTGCCGGTCAGCTCGGGTACCATCACCGTACCGAAGCCAACAAGAAGATCTACCGCATCGGTGCTGCCGGCGACGCCAAGTCGGCCACCACAGAACAGGATTTGACCGAGAAGAGCATCACGCCTCTCGGTGGCTTCCCCCACTACGGTATCGTCAACGAAGATTGGTTGATGCTCAAGGGTGCCGTCGCTGGTACCAAGAAGCGTGTGTTGACTCTCCGCAAGTCGCTCTTGGTGCACACCAAGCGCATCGCCCTTGAAGAAATCAAGCTCAAGTTCATCGATACCTCGTCCAAGATGGGGCACGGTCGCTTCCAAACCGCCGAAGAAAAGGCCAAGTGGATGGGTCCTTTGGCTCGCCAAAACCGCGCTTAAGCTTTCACTCGGCGTTTGCCTTAGTCTGTTCGATCAGACACAGTACATCTCGATGGGATAAGTGTAATTCATTGCATTTAGAAGGGGGATTCATTCGTCCATGAGCTGATCGGTGGTTACATTAACCATCGCCTGAATTGGACAAAAGCTACCGTGCTTTGATTTCAAAATGAGAGACTGTCAAAACCTCCACATACTATATGAGCATTTCTCCCCCCACAAACAGCCAAATCAGTACTGTATATGTTGCTACTACTCGCAAATGAGATATTTCTCGATTTATAATACCGGTTGCAAATTGCGGAGAGATCAAAATCGTCTCACCAACTTGCTACGGGTATGCTGCATAATCTAATGCAACAATTTTACTTTTGCAGATTTGTTTGTCGACTGAAGCTCGTTGGATGCAAGATTGTCGCTCCTCCAAGTGCGCGAAGCAGCTTGTCAGGGCTTATCCGGATGAGAAATACAATACCTTTTGTATTGTATTTCTCATCCAAGTAGATATTTTTAGCAAAATGACAAAGTGGTTCCAAGTGTTGTGCTTTCGAGTGAAACTTCGTGTTGTGGCGTGGTTTCTCGTAGGAATTTACATCGATTTGATTGGCTACCTCAGATGAGTTCATAATTATTAGCCAATAAAAATCTTCTCAATGAAATTCAACCAATCAGATCGATTGTGGATCGGGGAGATGCAGGAAATGAACGAAAACTCGCGATTATCTCGCATGTTGACTAAGTCTGTCCTTCATGCAACATGCTAACGCTACTTCAAAATGTTGCCTTCATACGTGAAAACACGAGGATGTTGGGATGCAAGTACAGCGGTGGTGTATACCGGTTTGCCAGATCTCTGACACCTGGTATTAGAACGGTATTTTATCCAAGTCTCAATGTATGTTGTATTATATCAACTTTTTATATAGAAATTTGTATTGAAATGTTTTATATGGTTTTGAACGTTACATGTGGAAATGCATGATCTTTGTAGAATTGACATGATACTGTACATGCTGCGCTCGCACATGTGCACGCATGTGCCCGAAAAACTACAAATTCGTCCTCCACCGTCCTCGTTTTCGTCCTCTGTACTTCACGTTGGTAAGAATGATTGCATGCACTACCTTCCTACACATGTGGAGTACATGATCTCACAGTTTCAGCTCACCTCCATGCGTCACTCCCGAGAATTTGACCACCTGCGCTTGGACTTTCCGCACATGTGCAACATGCGCATGAGATGCCGCTATCTATAGTTAGCTGCCACGGTGTAGGTTGTGATGTGCACATGTGCCGTGTAATAGTCTACAAGTTGGTATGCGTCCCATCCCTCGTCGTCATTCCTAGTCTATGTATTCACCCACAAAAGTTCCGCATTTTGCTCATGCGCGCATGCGTGGAGTGTCGAATTTTTCTTGCACATGCGGGGATGAAATGTTTTCTTTCTGATATAGAACGGGTAGCGAACGGATAGTAAATTTCTATAAGTATATAGGTAAATGTATGATCAGGAATTAAATTTCACATCCTATCCGACACGTGGTGAGGCAAATACCCGGTTTAACCCTTCAAGTAGAGCAGAATCATCAGTTTGTCAAACGAGCGATTTGGGAAAGCGACGAAAGGAGTCAGCAATTCTGTGAACATCACGGCAATGTCCGTTTACATGTTCACGGTAGTGGATCGCAATGTCAAATTTACGGCCTGTTCCTGCATCTCCCGGTTTGGTCGACAATACAGTTTCCTACTTTTTTACCTCTGTTTCTGCGATTTTTTCCGCAACTCACTATACCAAAAGTAAAAAACGACGTCCTTGACGTCTTTTTTCAAAATCGTGAAAAAAAAATGGTAAATCGATTTTGATTGGCTCATGCTATTTCTGAAAACTCTTGGAACTTCCCTTATGTTCCAAGTAGTTTTACAAAATGTATTAATAAATCCATCTCAAATATACCTATGTACTATTAATACGTAGTATTATACTATTAATAGTATTTATTTCAATTGGCAATGATACAATACTGTGAATCTGACATTTTAAAATTGCACGAACTGCTGGCCAATGTCATGGACATCCGGACATTATCCGGACAATTTGAACAGTGCACATTTGTGGTGGGAAGCTTTTGCTTAATCCCGAGATGGAGAAAGAAGCCGAGCAGGTCCGTGTGCTTAACCGCGGCATCCTTCGGTTCTACCCATCCCCTGGCACAGACAACGAAGCAGATGCCTATCGCACAACATCGTTGGATAAAACAAACCCACAATGCGTCGCACACTCGAACATATTTGGCGTGACGGTCATGGCCGTTCCAGGAGGCCTTGGCGTGACACGTTTTGCTACCTTGGAAGGTGCGACCAAGGACAGTGTGGAAAGGAAAGAAAGCAACCTCGACCCACTGGTTCCGATGCCGTTTGACGCCCACGTGTCTCTGCCCACGACGCCGCATGTGCTGTCTCTGTCCCCGTCCCAACGACTGTTGGCCGTTGCGTTCGACTCGTCTCTTGCCATCTACGAACTCGCTCGTCTCGTTGTGGATTCGAAAGCACTTCCTACATGTCTCTGCAATGGTGCCGACGTCTTGGCGTTGTCGTGGAGTGCCCAACTCGACAATGCTGGGGACGACCAGTGGCTTGCAGTGCTCACGACCACTCGTCAAGTCCATGTTTACACGATCGAAGGCAACTTGGAGTGTCTCGAAGGCTCCATCGAAGCCACGGCACATTGCTGGAGCCCCAGCAATAGCATTCTTGCCGTCGGCGACGACGAAGGGGTGATTCATCGCTTGACATACCACGACGGAGCGTTCCAAAAACTCGACACACTGGTGAACCCCGACAACACCGAGAATTCCGCAGGTACAAGTGTTTTCTTTGTCATATCGTATAACACTATCCTGTCCCCATCTAGTCCATCACATCAACTGGGCCGAAGCCGACCTCCTCCTTGCGGGCTACCGCCGCGGCGCCCTCGACGACGTGGAAGTGACGTCGTGCCTCTTTGAAGGCGGCAACCCCGTTCCATTGGACCAACTCGTGGACTTCTTCCCCAACACCGACGCGCCGCGCGAACATGCGTTCTACTCGTGCTACTTGGCGCCGTGGCGGATGTTTTTCGTTGGGTGTTCATTGAGCACTGACATTGAGCTGCTTGTGAGCGACCCCGAAAGTGGTGACTGGCAAAAGTGGAAACCAGAGGAAAAGTACACCCCTCGTCTTCCCATGAACGCAGGTACGTCGCCACCTCTCTGGACAGTAGCGTCATGACGATGTTGTGTATGATGGGTAGCCGACGAGGACACATACCCCGTGGGGATGACGTTGATCCTCAACTCGTCCATCGACATCGAAGGCATCGACGACTTTAAGTATGCGCCGTGTCCGTTGGTGCTGTGCGCCACGACGGAAGGGCTCGCGCTGAACTTTGCGTTGCTGGACATCACGGTCGGCGAAGCGTTGGAGTTTGTGGCGCCGCCTGCGGTGCAACTGTCGCCGTGTACCCGCCCCACCGTGGCCGCGCCGTGGCTAACCTCACCGGTGGCTACTACCGCCACCCTTGGTTCCAAGGAACAAGGCGAATCGGCCGGCCAGCAGCAGCAGCAGCGCGTGGTGTTTGATGTGTCTGCCGCCGCCCCGTCGTTCACGTTTGACCCGACGACGAGTCGTTCAGACGCATTTGGCCAAGACACGGACAACGTGTTCAACAGCGACGACGACAGTGATGTGGACGACGACGAGGAGCGCGCGGAGGAATTCGCAAAAGCGTCGGCGGCGTTCGATGCCGTCGACACGGACGGCGTCGGCGCGATTCCACTGGCGGACTTTGAAAATTTGTTTGACGCGCTGGGCACGGTCTATGCCGCCGACGCCCACACGCGGACGATCCGGAAGCTCGACCGCCACGGCGAGGTCCGAAAAGAGGACTTTGTCGCGTGGTATGTGGACTGGATCATGGCCGACATTGACAGCGACGACGACACGGCGGACGAAGTCGGCGACGAAGCCGTGGACACGACCATGAAGTCGGACGAAGACATCCGAAAGGCCATGGAGAAGTTTCGACGCCCTGAAGGCAGCTGGAAGTGCGACGAGTGCATGGTGCTCAACCTCGTCGCAGGCGCGGCGGCGTGTGTAGCGTGTGAGTCGCCCAATCCGACGGCGGCGGCGGCATCAAAGGAGGACCACCCGCGCGCGGTTGGCTTTGGGGGGGCAAGCGGGGGGATCAAGGGGATTTCATTTGGAGTGTCCACCCCTGCAACCACACCACCCCCTAAGCCCAAGGAGGCTACCCCTGCCACGTCGTCCGCACCAACGACGAAACAGTTTCAGTTTGGGGTATCGACAACTGCTGCACCAGCTAATGCCGCCGCCACGGCAACGATGCCACCTACTACTTCCACCGGAGGGTTTAGTTTTGGAGTGCCTAGCACGACTAGTACTTCCACCACCGGGGGGTTTAGTTTTGGAGTGTCGAGCGCCACCACCACCACCACCACCCCAGCGACGCTAGACGGGACCAAGCAGCTGCCTACAACATCGACATCAGGCTTTAGCTTTGGCGTACCACCATCGCCGCAAAAGCCATCCACCAACGACAAGAAGAACGACGAAAAGACTTCGTATGGCAACGACACGGACAATGTGTTTACACACGACGACAGTGACGACGACGACGCCGATCTAGAAGCTGAGATGCAACAAGAGCAGGACAAGGCCTCAGACGCCTTTGACGAAGTGGACTCGACCCACACAGGACACATCCCAGTGGACAAGTTTGAATTGCTATTTGACGCCCTTGGCACAGTCTACTCAGCGGACGAGCACAAGAAAACGCTGGCCAAGTTGACTCGAGAAGGCGGCGTGGTGTTCAAAAAGGACTTTGTGGCGTGGTATGTCGATTGGATCTTTGCCGAGATTCAAGACGACGACGAAAGCGACAATGTGGCCGACGTCGACCCGCACGCCGCAATGAAATCTGAAGTTGACATCGCCAAGGCGTTTGCCAAGTTCAAAGCCCCCGCTGGAAGTTGGAAATGCTCAGCATGCTTTGTCTCCAACCCAGACGAGCACGCGACGAAATGCGTGGCGTGTACAACACCACGACAACCAACGAGTGAGCCTTCGAAAAACAAGGCGACAGTTGGGAGCGGTGGGTTTGGAGTGGCGGCGCCATCGGCAACGTCTGGTGGATTCGGCTTTGGTTCGTCAAGTGGCACGACCAAAACGAATGCGTTCGACGCCATCAGCTTCGGCGCTGGCAATGCGTTTCCTGACGCCAAAGGATTCAGTTTCCAACCCACATCGACCAAAGCACCCGTGGCTCCGAAGGCCGCGTCTGCCTACCCCCCAGACACGACCTCCAAGCCAGCCGTTGCGTTTGGATCTTCCCCCGCTTCGACCACGACCAGTGGATTTAGCTTTGGGGTGAAGGCGACACCCTCTGCACCAAAGGCCTCATCTGCCTACCCCCCAGACACGAGCTCCAAACCAGCATTTGCGTTTGGTTCTTCCGCTGCTCCAAAGGCCTCGTCAGCCTATCCTCCTGACACGAGCTCCAAGCCAGCAGTTGCTTTTGGTTCTAATTCTGCCCCTAAGGTCTCGTCAGCCTACCCCCCAGACACGAGCTCGAAGCCTGTTGTTGCATTTGGTTCTACCGCTGCCCCTAAGGTCTCGTCTGCCTACCCCCCAGACACGAGCTCGAAGCCTGTTGTGGCATTTGGTTCTACAGCTACTTCAAAGACACCTGTTGCATTTGGGTTTGGAGCGACGCCATCTCCTACTACTGGCTTCAACTTTGGGGCGA